ACTATTTTTTAATCATTATCTCTATATTTAATTACAAAGGTGTGCAAAACAGAAAAACAAACCTAAATGCCCCAAATAATTTAACAAATAAGATAATACCATCTTGACATAAAATATAGAGCTCAGAGAATCAACTCCTCCATGATGGAAATGGGAATTGGGAAGAAGTCCGGGTGCAGCCGCAGGGACATGAAGGTCACAATCAGTATTGCAGCGTGGCCCGGCGTGGGTGTGCGGGGCGGGCTGCAGCTGGCACCAGCCCCAAAAGGGGACGAGGGAAGAGAGGCACAGGGTGGGCAGGAGCCAGTGAGTGAGGACAGAGCCCGCAGCTCACATCTGAGGAGGTGGCCAAGAGTCGCAGCTGCCACCAAACCCTAAGCAGCGGGGGTCCTGCCCTGAGGCGCGTGTCCTCCGGGGGCCCTGGGGCCCAGCAGGCGTCAGGGGTGCCCTGAGGACTGTGGGAGAACGCAGGAGCCCCAAACACGTGAGGGTCTGCCCGTGGCCTGAAGCCCTGGGCCTTTCTGACCGAAACAAAACACAAGTTTCTGTAAAGAACACTAGATGTAATTGCTTGCCCACCCCATTTGCAAGATATAAGGAAAACAACATTTACCTTCTAGATGTAACAACTCTGGTAAATCTGGCTGATCATCACTGGGATCTGCACTTTGCAACATTTGAAGCAACTGGTCCATTTTATCCTAGGGAGGGGGGGGTGACACAGTAGATATAAAAAGCAACAAACTCTGTAATAATAGTTTCTATCTTACTAATATTTAATACCTGTCATTTAGTTATGACAACTCCAATTTTGCTTTTATATGGTTAATATCTCATGTATTCTTTTTATATGAAGTCAGAGCTTTGAAAGCTCTTCATGCCTAGTTTTTGTTTGTAGTAATGCTACAGACTATGCCATCAGAGTACCTCTCCTTACTTATTTTAAACTGCTAGTAGAGATTGTCTAAAATAAGAAGGGGAAGCTCCTACATTTACACCTTTAACATGTGGGTTCTTAAACCTCTCTTGTGTCATGCTAGTCAACCTTGGTAAACCTTGGAAGCAGCTGTCCCCTTGCCACACAGACAGATGTAACATCCCCCAAACGTCAGTACTTATGACTAACAACTCAGTTATCACTACCCCACCATCATGACTATAGCAGTTGTTTCAGAAATCATAACTCAACTATATCACAGCTGTTCTCCTTCTAAGTAGGGCCATAAGGGCTTATTCTTCTTTTTCACTCCCTTCACAAGTGCATCAGTTTGTCATAAAAAAAGGAAGGGTTTTGGTTTCTGTTTTCTCATAAGGAAGGTTTGTGGTCTCTGTTTTCTCGTATGTGAGACAAACTGGAAGGTACTTCAAAACGATGAAAATTTATTTCAAAGCTTCTTTTGTTGTAAAGACCAATGAACTAATGAAATTATTACATCATATGTATTTATGTGTATGCTTCTACATAAACAAAACATACTGCTAAATTAATTATAAATGACTATACTATTTTTAACAAGGTAAGTAATTCAGATTATCATATCCTAAGCAAAGTAATAATTCAAAACCAAAACAAAATATGACAGAAATATTTACTACAAAGAGTAAAAGTGATATATATTAATGCTTTCCAAGAATTGTACATTGGTAAATGGATACTATACTTTCTGCTCATTTATTAACATAGTTAGGTTTCAAAGACCAAGTTATACAAAACCAGTGTCACATAGGAGTCAGGGGCCAGCTCATGTTTAGCACCCAGTCACCTCCTGCATGCTTTGTGGGCTGGAGCATCTCAACATACATGTAGCACAGCAAGCTCCCGTCACTACCATGTCTTCCCTTACCACGTTGGAGTTTGAGGAGGTGGAGGGTGGTGGTTGTGGTTATATACTAAGGTGTTGCCTGTTGCCAGTCACCTTCTATTACCCCTGCTGAGTGGACTGGGCTTGTCCATTCACTCCAGCCTTCACCTCAAATAGCTCCCCTTCCCACACTACTCTCTCCAGCACTTGTATACTTGCTCAACGTCCCTCTGCCCACTCCAAACCTCGTGATTATCTGTCTGCCACCAACCTGTTCCCTCCATAATCTGACTGAGATATTGTGGATGAATGGGAGGAGATGTGCTATGACAGGCTGGCATTATCCCTTCCACAATCAGGGCCTCTAGCATATCTTGAAGGGCAGACCACAGAGGGCGCCCTGAGCCCAGCTGCAGCCCCATATATTAGATGAGAACTTTTTCAGAATTGTAATAAAATAAGATAGTAAGGGACGAGGAGATATATTTTCACTGCAAAAGATTCAGTTTTCGTTTTAAGTAGTCTAAAAACTGTAGTCCCTATAAAAAAAAAAAAAAAACAAACCAAAAACCTGCAACAAAAATACAGTGAGAGTCAAATAAGATGTATTTTTCATTTCATATAAACATGAAACATACTCTATTTTACATAATCTACTGGCTGAGATAGGGTTTTGACACAGACCATTTGTCAGACTCTACATGCATTTTCTTATAAAGTGCAAATTGGTCATAGATGGTTTTTTGACTAATTTGAAATTGTTGACTCTTCAGTGTATTTAGAATTTCTTTCTCTAAGAGGAGTAGTTTTCAACCCATCTACTCTTATCTCCTCCAAAAGAATGCTATAAACCTAAAGCCCTCCTCTCAAATTTTAAAGATGACATTAAAGGGAACTCTGGTGGCTTAGTGGCAAGAAGGTGCACTGCAATCTCAGAGGTATGTGGTTCGGATCCACCAGTCTCTGCTGGAGAAGGAGGGCAATCTCTCCTGTGCCAGTTAGATCTGATTTGATGGTACACAGACACAAAATAATAAAAATAAATAAAGAAAAGATGACATTAAACTTTTCATTTATAGAGTAAGATATATCATACATGTATGTTGTTGTTGTTGTTAAATGCCGCTGAGTTGCCTCCAACTCACAGCGACCCTATGTACAACAGCTTTGAAGCCTGCCTTATTCTAAGTCTGTCTCTTTAATTAAAACATTAGCATTCCAAAATAAGTAGGCTTTTAAACACACTTTTCAATACATCCAAACAACAATTTCTATTCATCATTCCCATTAAAAAATATAATAAGCAACCACTGTCAGAAATTTTAAATGTTTCGTGTTTCTCTTTGGCCCTAGTCATTCTCCTACAATAGGATTATCTTAATGTAATATATATGAAGGCATCCTACTGGTTATCTAATTCAAATTTTTTAATACAAATATGTATATAGATTTATGATAATGCTCTTAATGTTAGAGTCATCTAAAGGAGTTCACAATTACTAATAGGTAAAAAATGAAAAACATATTTCAAATTTTGCAAACTAAAATAAACCAGAGTTCAGCTTTCATTCTATTCTTATTGTTTTTTTCAGATAAGCATGCTGAAAAATTTATTTATACAATTAAGTGTATTAAGAGTTTTGTTAGGCAATATCATTCAATGATTTTAATATTTTCTGAGTTTTATATAATAACAGTAATTTGTCACTAGAAAGTACTTTTAATGATCTACTAGATGACAATACACTTTGGTCATCCTACTTTGTTCATTTAAAAAAATATATATATACATATATATATAATTTTTTTTTTCTGCCTGAGTTGTGCTACCCAGTCATTCAAACTGTAACTTTCTTATTACCAACAATATTTAGAAATGTCCACGGAAATTTACACAGTTAGTGTCAATAGACTGAAGTAAGGTTCAGAACGGTAAGGAGTAAGCCTTTCTTCTGTAAAGTAGGAAAAGAAAAATGTAAAAGAAGAATTGAAAAAAAATTTTAAAAGATGATATGGAATGTTCTCTAGGAGATCAATTATCAGATAACGTAATCTATCCCAAAGTGTCAAATAATAAATATTTCAAGTTCTGAGGTCCATACAGTTCCCATTGCAGATATTCAAAACTGCCACTGCAGTACTGATGGCATGCAAATAAATCAGTATGGCTATGTTCCAATAAACTTTATTTCTAAAATCACCAACAGGCCAAATAAGGCCTTTAGGTCACAGTCCGCCCTTTCCTTTTACTTTTAGATGCTTTAGATTTTGAATGCTCTATTAGTTCTATAATTTCATATATATATAGTGCTGGTGTCTCAGTCCATAGGGAGTTCCCTTGCTAACCCCAAGTCAATTTCTCTCTGGTGATTCGCATCCACCAGTGACCCTGACAGAGAATGATTCACAGCAATTCACAGGCTCTGAAAACCTGCTAGAGGATCAGCTGTGAGTTAGTTGACTCAATAGCAATGAGAAAGTGTTAATTTAATACTGTATTAGTAAGTTAAGTCAATATACTTATGTTAATAGTCTCACTAAAAAAAGTAAATAGTTGAGTAGAAAATGACAATAACAAACATACATAAACTTAGAAAAGTAACATGTATTTCTGAAAAGTTAGAATGGATTGGTTAGCTCTGAAATGTACGGCTTGAATTGTTCCAAGATGATACACTATTTTCAAATACAATCACAGAAAATATACATTGTAGCAATGGCACAGCAATGATATTTATCATAAAATAAGGATAAGCTTTCCCCTAGAAGTAGAATGTGTTCAACTCAATACTCAATATATTACCAATGCTTGTATGAAATGATTTATGTAAAAATAATATAGTGGCTGTTTCAAGGACAGTAATATCATCCTTTCAATAGGAAATAATACATAAATAATCATAATATCTAATACTGAATACATAAAGAAACTTGTATCTCACATAATTTTAACTGGAATATAAATTCTCATACTGGTTGAAAAATTGCAGTTAACGATCAAAATGAAACAATAAGACCTTTCAACCCAGCAGTCTCATTCTGGTGCTCTAAAGAAATGTAAAGATAGATGTGTCAAAAATTTTCAATACTATTTGTAAGAGCAAAAAAATCTGGAAACAACCTAAACATCCATGAATAGAGTTATTAATTATGAATTATAAATTAAGAATTATAAATCCACTCTACAAAATAGTAAGTAGAATATTACTATAATTACTAGATAGAATGAAATGAAATAGTAAACAATGGGACAGGAGAGGAACTTTCTAAAGTATCTTTTAAAAAGGAATCTGCTCAATTTGTAATATTAAAACACTGACAATAACCAAAAATTCAGTACTCAAGAAATCAAATGACCTTAAATGCAATAAGAATAATTCAATTAGCACTTACTTCATCAATAAAGGCAGGTTCCGGCTCAGGCTCTATTGTCTCTACTTGTATATCATCACTAAATTGCACTGTCTTCTTCTCTGTTTTAACTGTAAAATATGTAATGTTTATCTTTTCCTTCTTAATAAATTTAAAAGAGATTTCTAAAACACTCTAAATTACAAGAGAAAATCCAAATTTTTCTTACATTCCCATAAAGCTTACAGACTCTATTTAGGGAATATTTGGGTTACAGACTTAGCAACAATGACAGAGCATTACTCTATAAAATTTTGTCTAGAGTTCTTACTTTCTTCTTCTAATGATTTCACATTTTTTCCCAAACAGATAATTCACTTTACAAATAAAAGTAAAATTTCTAAAAGATTTATCATTTACTATTTGTCAGAATTTAGTGAATTAATTAGTGGAATAAAAATGCAAAGCTTTAATATGCCAAAAACAAACTCTACAATATTAATAACTTTAAAACTACTAGCCCTTTCAAAGAAAAATCTCACAACCAAAATAATATCAGACCATTTTAATATAATACATTGGAAAGTCTGTTACATATTTTTCTGACACACCATTTTGCACAATATGAATGGCATCCAAGCCAGCAAGGAACTGTATAAGTGGCGTGGGCAGGAATCTGATGAGTCTACTGACTAAGTCCAGATTTTTCAATTAACATTAGACTTTACCATTGAAAAGTGGTTTATTAAAGGATCAACAAACCACTAACCTCCTAGATTGCTTGCCATACCAATCTTTAAACATTATTTAATGTAACATGAACTAGTAATTGTAAGATTATTAATATACTAATTAACTTTCTCTAACACAACACATGTAGACGAACAGAAAGGGCAACCTAGGTAGAACTGTCAAGCATGGAAATACAAAGGAAGAGGAACAGTTGTAAGCAGACACTAGTAACTGGAACGTGGAATGTGAGAACCATGCA